TCAAGGTATTAAAAGATGTGAATAGCAGCGAAAATTCAGGTCTAAGGAGACAGTTCATATTAAAGAAAGACAGAAAGAAAGGCAGAAAGGAAATGCCAGGATACATCAGATAATGAACTGTAAAGTGAGAAAGTAGGTCACATAGTACTATGTGTGTCAAATAAAGCTGTCTGCCCAATATGAAGTTACATGAAAATGACTCTCTTTAAGTCCAAGAAGAGACCAGAACTGCAGCAAATGGTAAGATGGTCATTTACAGTGATTTTCACTGGATATTCAGCTGTTAACATTTAGAAGTGGAAAATATCAGCTCATTTTCACCTTTGTATCAAGCACTGCTCATCCAAACCACCATAAAATATTAAACTGAATAAAAAAGGGAGGATGTTTAGAAGCATTACAGTTATGCTACAGGAAGGAAGTACTTTTTCTGCTTTCAACTAATAACACCTATTTCAAGGACTTTGAGGAAATTAGTTTTTAGCAGCACATAGCAATGATAATTAAACCGTGTGTTGCTTATAATTTGAAATCTCTGCACTATAAACAAGTCATTTTTTATAATGGTGTGACATTGTTGTGCTGAACAGACATGCTGTTTAAAGTGAGAGAATTTTCTGGAAGCTGACACAGAAGGATAGCTTTCTCACCAGTCCTCTTTTTTTTAAATTTTTTTTAAGCATCCACTGGCACTCCATTTAAAAATGTTTAGGTAGGGGGCATCGGCTCTTACCAATCTCTAATGTACTAAGACCGTATAAAAGGATATATAAGAACATATAAAAGGATATATAAATACAAAGTACAAGGTAGTTCTTCAAGTTTCACATTGACAGAATATAACCTGATAAAATGATCAGAACACTATCTATACCTCAGAATTAAGCACAGTGGTCCAGAAACCAGGAATGTAACTCATACTGGTAGTGTAATAGAGAATTACAATACTCACTGCCTTCAAAAGTAGGCATTCAGAAAGCAATGTTGTCTGTAGCTGTGGTGTTACTGTACATATCATCTACCCCAGCTCTGAATGACAATAGTAATAGTTTACAGAGTAAAACATGGGAAGCAATAACAGAAACCATCTCTTTGAGAGCCTTGATAGCTGTTTCTCAACATAGAAAGTGTTCCTGTAGCACAAAGAGATGTATCACAGTGTGGCATCTTCAGAAAATAATGAAGTGCATTCTCACACACCACCTAGGTGTCAAGATTTGTAGTGTCGAAGTGGAGTCTTTTCTGCTAGCTTGCTGACTGTCCAGTGACAATTATGGCTCCCACAGAGATGCTGCTTTGGATGCTAAACTGTTGTCTTTCGTGGGGAATTTTTTCATGTCTTCCCAGTGTTTTCTTTTACTTAATGAATAAGCTGTCCACAGCCAACTTAAACTGCTTCATTTGATTATTATTTGCTGATTACTTTTAATATCTTAAATATTATCTAGACCATTGCTTAGATGGCACAGTCCCTGCCATACAGATGATCTACTGTCAGGCCTCACAGACTTCAGTGAAGGCTTAAATCATTGCTGTGAGAGTCCCTACTGGGAAAAAGGTAGCAGGGTCAGCCACCTGGAAATACAGCCAGCCCTGCAGCTGCAGCACTATGAGTAGGACACCCTCAGAAACACAGAGCCCTCAGCAGAAGTTAAGGCTGTGAGTTGGGGATGTGTGAGTGCCCTGCAGAAGCTGGGTGCTGGCAGCAGGATGCAGGACACCAGCACAGGAGTGGCAGGTGCCCCTACCCACTCCCAGCCTCAGCACCTTGTCCCCATGCAGAGTCATATGATGCTGAGGCATCTGTCCTTTCTCTCTGCTGGCTTCTCTCCCAGTTCAAGCACCCATGCCCCTGCTTGGCTCAGCAGGTTTCCAGCCTGAGACATGTCCTCACACAGGAGAGGGAGTCATCAGGGAGGTACAGGAGAAAGGCATTTGCACTGTGTTGTTAGGAGGTAGCTTAGGGAGGAGAAGGGGCAACTGGGTAAGAGGATGCCAAATAGGACTTTCAAGGAATGCAGCTGTAGGCACTCATCCCAGGGGAAACCTGAATGGTTGCAGAGATGCCAGACCTGGTTGTGGCACTCCCACCTTTGATCCAGCTGGATAGGCGCTTTGGGAGAGCAACTGTGCTGAGCCTGCCCGCACTCTGGAGGAAAGCAAAGCAATCTGTAGAGTATATGACAGAACTTGCTGGTCTGAAAGGCATGAGGCATTTCAGATGTATGAGACACAACAGCTCTTCAAAATAATTTGCTTCATGCTGCTCCTGCCAAAACTCTAGTTGTTTTGTGAATGAGTCCTGTTAGCTACTCGCGCTTGTCTCAGTGAAGGAATTATTGTTTTTTCTGTTCATTTAGCCCACTATCCCCTTTGCATTGACTGAGTAAGGTACAGTAAACATAGCCCATATAGTAGATCTCTCCTATCTTTTTTATAGGATTATGATGGACTGATAGATTCCTGGAATTTAAACCACTTTGCCAAGTCAAAAAGTATAGGGTTCACCAAAGTAATCTCTCAGATATTTTTTTTAAATTGTTCGCTGAGTTTTGGTGTTGATTTTTTTATGCAACATATACAAGAAAACCCACACAAGACTAGCTAGAAAAGATGCAGTTGTCATTAAAGGTACTGTGATCATCTGCTCTTCTATTGTATCTTCAAGCCAATCTTTTTTAATAGTCATAAATTAAGCCATTGTGTATTATTGTGGGGGTCTTTTTCCTCACTGTGACAATGGGTCTTACATTGCTCTGGGTCATTATCTTGCAGTTACAGAATGAGAGCCTTTGGCAGCCCCTCACACATGCACAAGGACACTGTGGAGTGCTATACATTTGCAGAAATGCAATTTATGTATGCAAAATTCTTTGAGGGTCAAACCTTTCCAATTACAATATTAATCTAGTGCTTTGTACATGTTATTTAATCTTCATAACAGTGTTTGGATGTGGCATGGTTATTTCCATCGGAATGGTCTTGGACATTATGCATTCTAAAGCATGTAGATATGGAAAGAAAACATTTTTCACTGCAATGAGTGAGAAATGTTTTGAAATCTGTTTCCTTCTTAGGCAGTAGATGCTTTTATAGTATAATTATTTCATTTTTGACCTTGGTATATTAATGTTTTTTCCAACCGCTCCTCAGCAAGCTGATGAGCTGAAAAGAGCAAAAAGCTTCAGAGTGAAACTGCAGCAGCACTGATAGAAGAGCCAGGAAAACAGCAGAGATTCCCAAAATCAGGGGCAAAGAAAACCTCAGAAAAAGTTCCCTTCCATCTTCTTGTTATACTAGCACACAAGTCCTCAAACTTCTCCAAGCATTTACACATCAAGCTAAGTGTGAAAAGACCTTTTCATTGACTGCACTCTAAATGACCCATTTGCCTTTTCCAGAGTTTCCTAGTGCCAGAACTAACTCTCCTAATTTTTTAGAGTTTTGTGGAGACTGGCAGCTCTCTGAAGATACAAATATGCACACTCATGCAGAGGGCTTCCGTGACTGCAGAGGCTGCTAATTTTAGAAGGAACTGACTAGTCCTCATCACAGATTTCCAGAGCTCCCGCACTCCAGCTGGAAAATTCCAGCATGCTGCCCTGCTGCTGACTCCTTGCTGTGAAAACACAATGGGATCCATTCTTCTCTCCTGGACAAGATAGGACTGGAAGGAGAATAGACCCCTTCAGTCTTAGCCTGACAAGTCTGCTTTGAATGTTTACTGCATTTTTCAGTGTATTGTGTTGAGAATGGAGAATGCTTTCTCCCTTCCCCTTCCTTTGCTCCTTCCCCCTTGCAGAAATCCATAGCAGCATACCTAGCACCTCTCATCTGTATAGGGCTCCCAAAACCCACCTTTATGCTTTTCATTCCGTTTCATCTCTCCATAACTTGGGTAGGGACATGCTTTTTATTTTAATGCAAGTGGCATTCACTCTTTGATGGTTCTGCCCACTTGCGCCAACCAAATCCCCATGTTGCACAGTAGCTTTGATGTGACTGATAAATAAGCTGCTCTGGGATCATCTGTTTGATGTTAATAGATATGCTTCATAATTGGGAGACAACATGGTCTGAGTTACCCTGAGTCAGAATCTATAAAAAATGGAGACTTCTGTTCATCAAAAATGAAATTCCAAACTAGGAGCTCAGTGAGAACCTGCAGTTGCCAACAAGACAAGTGACATCTGTCTCACACATAACTGGCATGATAATGTTTCAGATAATTGCTAATTTTTATCTACACTACTGCCTGCTATGACCTTTAGATGTTACATTATTTAGATATCATATCAATACATTACAGAAAAGCAAGAAACTGGTCCTGGCAACACTGAAAGCAAACAACAAAACCCAACTTGATGTGTTAATCTCTCACGCTCCTTTCCCCCCAAAAAATTAAAAATATAAAACTAAAGAGGCAGGTCTGGACCAATCTAGAGTGGAGACAAAAATTCTAGATTTGAATTCATGTACTGCAATTCCCCAGATTTTTAACCCTGGCTCCACTAAAAGCAGAGGTTTTATCTGAGGGGCAGAAACAACCATATTACAGTTTTAAAAAGGATTCGATCCAGAGTTCTGTGAAAGGAGATGATCCTCTACTGTTTTCAGTGACTTTGTGCCAAAGGTCCAAGAAAATATTAAACATAGAAATATTTTTAATGTTACATAGCAACACCATAAATCTAAATAATATTTGGATCACTTGTGGCAATGGATCACTTCTCTGTTAAACAGTAATATAAAAATAAAGTGGTAATCAATGATTTATTATTATTTGATCAACTCAGAAGCAGTAGGATGGGAGCATAAGTTTTGTTTTTAATGTGATGACAACTTAAGTAAAATATCTTGGTGCATAATATTGTAATACAAAAACTCGTGTACTGTAATACAATATTGTAATACGAAAAAGTTTTACAATGTAATCATTTAGTGTTTATTTTATTATGTGTACCTTCTACTCAGAGGGTTGGCATTATTGTTCCTAACAGTGATGGATACAAGCAGATCATGCCCTATGACCTCTACCATCCCCTTCCTCGGTACGTAAAACAGTCAACCAGATGCTAGGATTAACCAATACATTTTCATATTTTTTTCTCCTCTCTGCAGTTCTGCTTTGCTCTCAAACTAAGTTAATAGATGCTGCTTTTTTTTCTTGCTCTGAACTCCTGTAGATTAACCTGGAGATGTTCAAGTGCTAACCTGTTGTGGTAAATTCTATTGATGCAGGACTGAAGTGATATTCCAGCCAAAATAGAAATGACAGTGTGCAGTCCCTTTCTTACTCTCATTCCTCAACCCCCACCTTCACTTTTCTCACACCGTTCCTTTTTCTTCCTTTTTTTATCCTCTCTAAACAGGACTGTAAACTGTGGCTTTGTAGTAAACCATAAGACTTTCTCCTTTCCCATGATGCTGCTTCTTGCATGCTTAGAAATTGTTAGACTTTTGGTTTTGAAAGCATTAGTGTTGTGTTCTGAGCCTACAAACCCTTGCTAATGCTTTCTGCAGGGACATTAACTCAATGGCTTTCCTAAGAAATTAGGGATCGGGGCAAGAATAGGATCAGGGCCTCTTTTGTATTATTAGTTGTTTCACAGTTAAAATGTCTTTAATGTAAGACTTCAGATTATCTTGGAAAGAATTAGATGAGTAATTGTTGTTAAAGCTGTGAATAAGAGTGGTGATGATAAAAATGTTTGATAGTTGAAGGCTAACAACATTTAGGTTTTGAAATATTACCTGGACATGCAATAATATAGTTCTGTGTTTCCTTTTTCACTAATTTATTGTGTCATGGAGTATGAAATCACAGAAAGAACCCTCTAGGCAACTTGCTAGTCTCATCCTTGTGAGAAAACTACGTTCCTCAATGTTGAGGCCTAATGCAGAAAGCTTTCAGCATCAGTGTGCAAATGCATTGTATTCACACTCTGCAGAGTCTCCAGCCAAATCAAGGACCCACCACAAATTCTGAATGAGAAGACAAGAAGCAGAGCAACTTATTAGCCAAGCATTGTGGCTGCCATTCCTGTTCACACCCTTCCTCAGTTATCAGTCATTAGGATTAGGTTTATCTCTTCCTCGCTGTGTTTATGGTTTTGTACACACAGTCATTATCACCAAGTATCTGTGAGATACACTTATGATATATCTCTGCATCTAATTCCTTTATTCATTTTGGAAAACATTTTTCTCTGTTCTTTATCTTAAAAAACACCCACATACATACCTCAGAAGTTAAACCTCTGTTAGTAAGGAATATAGAAACTAAAATATTAGTACAGGGTTTAACACTCTAGCTTTGAATAAAACAGATTTTATTTCAATTGTCTACAAAGGGCATGAACATTGAAAAAAGATGGAAAATGATTTTATATTAGTGGATGATTCAGCAGTACAGAGGGACCGTATTTAAGGAAAAAGCATCCTGAGCTGGCAGCTAGACAGAGGCTTTTTTACTGCTGAAGAAAATCCAAAATAAAGGATCAAAATGCCCTGAGGTATTTGGCTTTCAGTAACACTGAAAGGAAAAAAAAAGATATAGTTCCCTGAAAATGATCAAAAGACTGAGACTGTTTCTCAAGCTGCTCTGGATTATGGTCTCACTCCATCACCGTCCCTTTACATCCACTCTCTCAGCCTCACTATTCTCCTTTGAACCCCCCCTCTCTTCAACTGCTCAGGCCCTAATTGTTAGTTGGGTCCTCTGCCCCTCTTTTTCCCTCTGCTGTTTTGCTGTTGCTTCCCCTTCTCCCCTGTCCCCCACTCCCACATGTGCTCCTTTGAACCCACAGGCCGGGCTCAGGTCTTCCTCCCTCACCCATAGCTTTATGTCTCTTCTCCAACCCTCAGAGGCAGCTGAAACTCAACAGACCATGAGACAGGGCCAAATCATAGGTATTAAAATGTCTTTCCTCTGAAAAATCAACCAAATCTTAAAAAAACCAAACCAAACCAAAAATCCCAACCAAACCAGAGAGACCCTGGTTTGGTTGCACTACCAGTCTGAGACTGGCATCTAATACTAGGGACATAGGAGAGCGACAAACATCTCAAAAGTGGAGAGCAAATCTTGGCAAGGATTCCCTTCTGCAACTTCCTAGCCTTGCATTTAATTTCAGAAAGGGAAAGGTATGATTTAAGGGATGCAATGCTATTTTTAATGCACCTTCAATTCTCTTCACAAATTCTCAGCCAGTCTTGCACTCTTCATACCTCAAAAGGAGCTGTGACACATGCTGTAAGAACTGTGCAACAGCTCTTAAAGTTCATTAAACTTTAAGTTTAAAGTCATTAAAGTTCTTATACTTCATTTTCCTATCTTACATTCTTATAAAACCTGAGGACCAAACTGTCTGCCTAGACTTAAGCTGCTTGGTATTGCTAAGGTTGCCTGAGGCATCTGAAAAGACTTCAGAGAATTCTCTGGTGCCATTGCTGTTTATGGCTGGGAAAAGATGTCTCAGGCTGGTTGCAGCAATTTTTGCTGTTTGCTAGCTTTAGTTTGAGGTCTGTTCATTTAGGTTTGTGGTAGAGAAAAACCTTATCTGTATCCTGGGAAGCTCATTCAGCAGAGCTACAGGTAACACATTTAAGCAAAAGTATTGCTAAAATTGCACCTTTCTGACATACGTGGCTTAAGATGAGCACACAATGATAGCTACAGCATGGTGTAAAAATGGTTTCACCACTCCTAGTGATAAGTCAAAATTAATCAGTGGCTTTACCATTCATAAGCAGCTATTAATATAAGCCATTTCATATTGAATTTTATAGCACTAGCAGCCACTAGCCAAGTGTGGGTAGTGCTAGGTGTACTGAACCAGATGAAAAGAATATGGGTTGATATGATAGAAAATCGGAGAGAAAGAGAAGCATTTTTCATATTGCTCAACAATCTTGGGGATACTGTGATTGATACTTACCTAAAATGTTTCCTATGCTTTAAGTGGTAGAAAAAAATTCTCACCTTTCACTGTTTTTACTTCTTTTCTAAATGAGGAAACAGGCAAGGTGTTTTCCACAAAAACACTTTTTTAAAGTAAGAAAAATAAATTTTATGACCAAAATCATTGTTTCAAACAGCATTTCTACCGTCTGTATCAAAAGGACATATGTCTTTGGGAAAAAAAAGAAAATATTTTGTGAAATATTTCCAGGTAGGCCAAATATACATACTGATGTACCATCAACCATGCACAGGATGGTACAGAAATAGCTACAGGATCATGAGAATGGTCCCACATCCAATCTGTGACAATGGCTTCAGTATAAGAAAGGCAATACCAGACTATTTTGTGTGGACAGACATGTACACATCTAAAGCAAGACATACCTATTTTATATGCTTCACTAATAAAGGACTATTCTCATAGGTATGCATAGCTTTTCAGAACATACCCATTGTTATGTGGATTTGTCATGACATTCTCAAATGGCACTTGTAGAGACAAGATGATTTTGCAGTTCATCTGACTGCCTTAATTGTAAGGAAAGAAGGTTTATCCATCAGAGGACATGTATCTTACCTGTACAGTCACATCTTCTTTCTGGTACTTTCCTCCCATCTTTTTTTAATTCCTCGACTTAGTTGCTTCCCTGGGAAAAAAACACTGCAGTTTCCCTTTATGTTCTTGAAAAAGGGGCATCAGCTTCAGAGCACACTGAGTTTCCAGTAATTTGTGATAAAGATTCCTTGGAATATGACAAATTTTGAAGATATGATAATACCATAAATGGAAAAAAAAAAGGAACTAAGTTAAATGTATAAAAATATTTAGATTTTTCCCTGGTAGTAATAACTGGGCTAGTGTGAGAGAGGAGATTTTTTATTACTTATGTGTGGTTGATGACACCAGCCATGAGTGTGCTTTGCTGCTATGGACACTTATGAAAATAGATATATGATTAAGGTTTTACTGACACTGATCAGATAAAAACCACCCCAAACTTTGCAGATAGTAGTTTATGCATTTTTAGGGTGCAAGTGGGAGTGGAAACAAGGGTTACTTATTCTGATGCCTCTCTGCTTTTCCCAGATGGGAAAGTACACCCTGGACTGCCTGCTCCTCATCCTGTGGAGGAGGCATTCAAAGCCGCAGCGTCTCGTGTGTGGAGGAAGACATTCAGGGACATATCAGCCCTGTGGATGAATGGAAATGCATGTATACTCCAAAGATGCCTGTTGTCCAACCTTGCAATATATTTGACTGCCCAAAGTGGCTTGCCCAGGAATGGTCTCCGGTAATCAACTTAGCTTTGGTAGTTTTGCCTTTGCCACATTAGGAATGTATCTTAAATTATAGTTTATTGAATTTGTGGAAGTAGGAACACTCACTGCTTTCTTTCCTTATTACCAACACCTCTGTTTTAAACTATGCTATTTGTCTAACTGCAAAGTAAACAGTCAGGGAAAAATGTATTAATAAGATTAACATGAGTAAGGAGAATGATTGAAAAATAAATCAGGTCTGAGATGTTAATTTGTGACCTTCTACTATTAGTAGATTGGGAACATAAATTAAATGCATGAAACAAAACCAATAAGCATGTAATGCTATATCTTTATTTCAGCCATGGAATAAAGACCATGATTTGCTGAGAAATTTCCAGAAATACATAAAGCTGTAAATTACTCTGCTCTTTGAAAATTTTTTTTGTTAGTTGCCTGTTCCTGACTTGCCTTTCCTTTTGTAGGAAAGCAATTGTCTTTGAAATTACCTCCTGCAAAAGTAGTAAAGTTCTTTAACTTTGTACTTAGACACTTATCTTGAATGTGGTTTCTCACCACCCCAGTTTCTGAGCAAGTAAAACAGACTTTAGAAGCTAAGCAGGCTCACCTGTGGGTGAGGTGTTTTTGACTTATTGCAAAGTGTTTGTTGAAATTTTTTTCAGATGAAAGCTTCTGTCCAGAAGCGAAGTAATATTGGTAGTATTCACAGCACTCCACACTGGTTGGTAGTTTTGATCCTCTCTGGTGCAACCAGTTCTGAAACAGTCC